TGAAGGCCATGTAGTTAGTAAATGGCAGGTGCCAAGATTCAATCCAAAGCCTTTTTGTGTATTTTTTTTCAGAATACAAGGCTACTTCTTCAAGCAATGAACACAAACTGTCATTTGTGACACAGTCACTGTCTCTAAAGGATCATGGCAGGTGAGCTCACTTTCTGCAGTGCTGACTAGGGAGGCTGGAACGTGAAGGAGGGAATCACAGAGAAAGAAAAGGGAATGGCATGAACAAAAATATAAAAATAAATAAAAGTATGACCTAGCAGTACTGTCTTCTGGCTACTTTACCCTATTTCTTGCTGAGTACAATATGGTCTGAATAGAAAAAAGAAGGAAATAAAGTGTAAGAGATAGATGTGAGCCACAACACAGAGACTGTTAATTCTATTGTTAGAAATTTGGCCTGGAGCCTGGCATGGTGGTTCATGCACAAAATCCCCGCTCCTTGGGAGGCTGAGAAGGAAGGATTGATTAAGGCCAGGAGTTCAAGACCAGCCAGAGCAACATAGTAAGACCCTGTCTCTAAAATAATTAAAAAATCAACCGGGCATGATGGCACACATTTGTAGTCCCAGCTGCTCAAGAGGCTGAGATGGGAGGATGGTCTGAGCCCAGGAGATCAAGACTGCAGTGAACTATGATCACAGCACTGCACACCAGCCTGGGTGACAAAGTCTCTTTGCATATTTGTATAAATGGAATCATGTAACTAATTACATATAAAATATGTAGATATTAATATGTAAAATATTAATATGTCGATATTAATGCATTTGTAATTATGTAACTAATTCCATGTAAAAATGTAAATATTTGTCCATTTGTAATGGAACATATTCACAGGTTATTTATAAAATAAATAAAATAAAAATGGCTAAAAAAGAAATTTGGACTTAGTTTGGTAGATACCAGAGAGTCAAGAAAAAAATTTCAACAAGATTTTGCTTTAGGAAGAATCTTCTTGTGGTATGTTTTAGGTAAGTTTCCCTAGAATGAGATGCTAAGAAAATGATTTATTGAGGGGTTCTCTCAAGTGAAACCTATAAAATAATGAGGGAACCAGGAGAAGACAGCGAAACAAGCGTATAAACACCCAACACTCATAGCAGTTGAAGGGAAGTTCACACTGCCCTAGTGGAGGGAAACTGGGCAGGCAACCATGTCTACTGTGTGGCATTTTGAAGGATGAATTGGAATCAAAGGAGCTTGAAGAACCACATATGAGGTACTACCATTTGAACTTAGATAGTGGCTGTGTGGGCAGAATGATGACTTCCCAGAGATGTTCGTGTCCTAATACCTGAAACCTGTGAATATGCTCCATTACAAATGGATGAATATTTACATTTTTATATGCAATTATTTACATAACTACATTTGCAATAATATGCAAAGAGACTTCGTATGATTAAGATTAAAGATGTTGAGATGCAGAGATTATCTACCTTAGTCAGGTGGCCTCAACCTAGCATGATTCCATAAAAAGGGAAAGTTGTTCCTGACTGAAGTTAGAGACAGAAGAGAGGTTGCTGGTTTTAAAGGCATAGCAAGGGGGCCATGCACTAAAGAAGTACAGGCCTCCCTGAAGCTGGAAAAGACAAGGAAACTGATTTCCCGTGGAATGGAAGGAAGGCAGCCACAATTGCACCTTGACTTTGTTTAGCTCAGGGAAACTCTTGTTCGACTTTGAAACTACAGAGCTGTAAGATAATAAATTTGTGTTGTTTTAAGGTGTAACAGCAGCAATAGAAAGCCAATATAGTGGTCACAGAAGGGACAGAAAAAGACTAATGACTAAGGAATTGATAGAGTTCCCACAACTCAAAAAAAAAAAAAAAAAGCTTTAAAAGCATTAATCTCTGTTTTATTTTATTTCTTGATTTTAAATAGAATTAATGATTTTTATTACCTTTCTCAGAATTCACAAAGTAACATAAAAGGTCATGAAAAAATGATTTCATGAAATTATAACTGAATTAGGAAATGATAGTTAAAAACTCCATATTTTACAAAGGTTAAGAAAGACATACAATCAGTGAATGCCCAAAACTGTTAAGGGAAGAGTAAAAGGAAGAAGCTGTATTTATTTTTATTATTACATTAAAGACGTAGGTATCAGGTGAATACTAACTGCAGACCACTCTGATTGGCTGATTTTCAGTGGCTGCCTCCCTGAGATTCACTTTTTCTTGGGAAAATTCAGAACTGTGAGCCTTATGGTCACCAGAGGGTGCTATGAGACAGGCTCTCGCACTCATCCAAGGGTGCTCGTCAGACAGGTAAAGAATGGTGCCTATGCCTCTGGAAGCCAGTGACTCCTTTCTATTATCCAGCATGCTTCAAAAACCAGATCTGAAAGTGGAGTTGATTTTATTTTTGGGCACTGAAATATTTTTTAAGTGAAAAGTTATTTATGACAACTTTTGGCATCTCCCTCAATAAAAATGAAAAATAATAAATGTGCAACAAAATTCAGAAGCTTCCACAAAGTTTTCAAAAAACAGGATCAGATAAGTAAATGAAAATCGGCAGTGTGAGGCAATTTAGTTAAATGGATATTCCCCTGAGCCAGTGCTGGGAAGAACGAGGGTGTGAGGGAGAAGGCTATGTCCTGAGGAGTGTCAGGGCATCCGTAATTTACACTATGAGGGTTATATCTGTTTTAGTTCAAAGAACAGTCAAAATTCTTTAGCTCATCAACAAAGGTGTGGACACCAAAGCCGCTGCAAGTCAGAGCTCAGGAAAAAAGAGAAGAACAAGAGCAAAGCACAGTAACAACCTCACAGAAGCTAATTTATGGCTCAGGCAGTCACGGTTTTGCAGAATATATTAGAAGGAGCAAAGGAACCTAGAAATGTTGATGGTTATATGTTTGTACTTAAAATGAACATAGCTCATAACTGAAAGAGGAGGACTTACTATATTTCTGCAAACTGTAAGGAAAGTCATGGCATATGAAGGAGACCAGCTGGGGCGAGACAATGAGAGGCACACGGAGGGGAACTAGAAAAGCAGAACAAGGCCGGGAAGCCACGACTACCGCTTATGCACTTGCCATTGAGTATAGTCGACGTGGAGTTCTGCCTGGAATTGGTACAGATGATGGTGAAACTAGTTCTAAAATATTGTGATGGTTTGTTTACTAAAGGAAATATATATTTAAGAATATATTCGTGAATTGTATATTTTTGGTGAGTCAGAAATACATTCTTCTGGTACAAAATCCAAAAAGAGTTGTGTTATATTTGGCGTAGAAAACTAGCTTTATGGTTTTCATAAAAATAATACAATTATTACATAGTACCTTATTGTTTTAAGATGTCAGGATTTATATGGTTCCATTTTTTGTAGAGGTTGAGCATCCCTAACTTGAACATCTGAAATGCTCCAAATGCTGAAACTTTGTGAGCATTGACATGACCTCACCAGTAGAGCATTTTATACTTGACCTCACGTGATGAGTCACAGTGAAAACCCAGTTAAGACTGTTTCATGCACAAAATTATTAAAAACATTGCATAAAATTACCTCTAGGTGATGTGTATACGATGTATATGAAATGCAAATGAATTTTGTTTTAGACTTTGGTCCCAGGCCTGTGATATCTCTTTTATGTATACGTGAGTGTTTCAAAATCCAAAAAAAGACATCATAAATTCAAAACACTTCTTGCCCCAAGTATTTTGGATAAGGTATATCCAACCTGGACAATATTTTCTATCATTTTTTATGTATGTATCAAACCTCCAAGCCAAATTTCAATATATTTTCTGTCTCAAAAAATATCTAGAGCAGCATTCACCAAATATTGATGATGACTATCTCTACGTGTTTCTCTCCTTTCAGCTACACATCTGATGTTAGATATTTTTTCAGTCAAAACAGCATATCACAACAGATTGAATGCAGAAGCAGATATGAACATATAGCAGTTTTAAATTAAGCCAGACATTAAAGAGATTTTCAAAACGTAAACAGCGCAACTTTCTTACTAACATTTGTTTTAGAAAATAAAAGTATTTTTCATAAAAATGTTATTTCTGTTAATGTAATGCTATTTTTAAAAAAGTAAATTTCTTATCAGTTTAAATTTTTGACATGTTTAGATATCTAATATCAATCTATTATCAACACAAGAATGTAATATTGATAGATATAATCTATATAAATCAAGGCTCCTTGGGGCCCTCTTTAATTTTTAATAATGTAAAGGGCTTTTGAGACTAGAAAAAATGAGAATATGTATAGTTATAAATCAAATCTCTCTCTAAGCAACAACTCATGCAAACATGTTTAATAGGCAACTCGCAATACACAATCTAAAGAACTTTTGATGCTATCCAAACCTGACAAATTTGATTTTTTTCCCTAGGTTTTCTAACTTCAGTAAGTGGTACCATAGTTGACCTAGTTGCTCATCTTCCAAACCTAGCAATCATCATTGATTGATTTGTTCTGCAATTTACCACATCCAGTCCATTGGCAAGTTCCAGTGACACAACTACAAAAATATATCCCAAATCACCCACTTCTCACCAGCATCACAACTACTACCTCCCTTCATACCATCATATTCTCTTGGCATGTTGGAAAATTAAAATAAAAAAACAAAAACCTTATTGGTAAAGTTTCCAAAGAGAAGCTATCAAAAATACATATGTCTTCCATATCATTATCATTTACATACAAGCGGAATCAAATAATTTATATAATATAATGTTATTAGCGTTTATTTTGCAATATAGTGATTACAGTGATTCCATTTTCTCTAACCTAATTGTAAAGACCTTGACTCAAAAGAGTAGGTTATATACATATAATGGAATAGCTTTCATAAAACAATATGCATATAACTTTGAAAGTTTTAAAATGTTAGAACCAAATAAATTATACTTGAACATTTTATATGTTTCAGAAAATTTATTTATATTGAGCCACTGGAATAAAAGGTAAGTTCTACATTTTCTTTTCACCAGATGTATGGTTCAACTTACCTTATCAAGTTCATCTGAAATTGCAATACCTGGGATTTAAAAGAGATTTATAAAAAAAAGTTTTAGAAGCAATCTTTAGAAACCTAATGTTCAAAACAAACTCTCTATTTGTAAAAGTAGTGCATTTCCCATTCTATTTTTTTCTTTTTTAGTGCTTCAAAATAATGTGGCACATTCTTTTTACCAATGAAAACAAATTAGGAATTTAAGTCAACTATGACAGCCATGAACTGCCGGAGCAATGCAAATGATGGGACAAAAACAAAGCAGTGCCACATTCCTTGTAGGTTGTTAAAGGCAGAACAAACTTGCAAATGTGATTGTAGCAATATCGTCTTTATGTTATGATGACAATAAAGTATAACTTAACCTGTTATAATTTGTTCCTTGTTAAGAATTTAGACTTCCAGAGTAATTAAATATTAAGGCAGAATGGTAGTCCAAGATGACTTACTCTAATGTCCTTATTTTGTGGTTGAGGAAATAGACTAGAAAGTTTAAGGGATTTTCCCACAGTACCGCAGATTGACAGTTCGTTGAGCCAATGCATAAATGATTCCTCCTTACAAGTTCCTCCCCCACCATCCACATATTTCTCACTGTACATCAGTCTAATTTCTGTCTTTAGCCTTTCTCTAAAATTATTCTAAGTCAGCAATGTAAAAAGTATAGTCCTTAGCTTATTTCTCTGTGATGATAGACTATCAAATTTGAATTTCTTGAAATGCTATTCCCTCTTTTCTGTTCTCCTTTGTCTCCTTCACAGGAACCCTCTTTTTTGCAGGGATGAGGTTTTGTTGAGCTGTCTTTTCTTCTCATTTGATATGCTTCTCTTGGTAATCTACCCCATACCATTGATATTTTTATTTCTCTCTATGGCACATCTTTACTGCCAGCACAGACTTTCTTCCTGAGCTAAATGTTGAATTCTTGTGGACATTTCATTCTCAACTTGTCAGACTAAAGACATCATCCTCCCAAACTCACTCTCCATTTTATTCTTTTGCACAATGCAGCTGAACTTCAGCACTGTGGCAGGGCACTGGAGCAGGTGTGGCTAGCTCTCAGATTCAGGGCACAGAGCAAAGGGGGGTTAGTGTCAAATCCCAGTAGGGAATGAGCCAAGAGATAGGGAAAGGTCTAAAGTTTGAAGCCCAGGAGAACGTGGAGAAAATAAGAACAGGAATTGAAGCTGAAGTTTAGCAGACTACAAAGAACTAGAAAGAATGGGCTGGGTTGGAAAAGAGAACCTGGAAATAGCCTCCTCAGGATAATGAAACTGAGTAAAAAGAGCCTGTTACAGGGATCGGATCCCCTTCCCGCATTGGGTACAGAAGTGGAGGGTATAAACAATATTTTATTAGTTCCTATATCATCTCCCACACCACTAACATAATGAATCACTTATATACAAGGCAGAAAAAGTACAAACAACTTCATCTCCGTAAATGGCACCACTGTAGATCTGCTTGTAGATGACACAAGAAACACAGGCACATTTGGGGTTCATTCTTCAATATTCTATGAAATTCTTTGTTTGTTTGTTTTGGTAGAAGTCATTGGTAACTAAGAATTTTTATGTGTCACACATTAAAAGAAAGTCTAGCTATCTCTTTAGGGATTTTGGATGACCAAAGCTTAGCAATTATTCAAGGACTTGCTGTATTATGAAGGTAGTACCTTCAAACAGCTAAAGGAAAAAAAGCTTTAGGGAGAGCCAGCATTGAAGCTGGGCTGTATCACTGCTGAGTGTGCCTTAATGGAGAACTCAGATCTGACGGTACCACGATCAAGAGGAAGACATGAGACTAAGAGATCTCAGAGGGCAATTATAAACATTTGTAAAGACCTAACATAAATCATATAATTGTGGAATGTTTGGGCTTAAAAAATATAGAGAATTACAAATGGGGTCATTTAGAATAACTCGGATTTTAAGAAAATATAGGACATTTACGGCATACCAAATGGCTTATGTCACAGTCTATAGATTTAAAATACATTATTATAATTTATAAAAAGCCAAACATGTTTTAAATACTTATATTTATATGTAATATTATTGTACAAAAAAGGTTTCTTTCCAATATGAATTCAAGATTGACTGAATATCTTAAAAATAAAATTTTAAAGGGCTTAGTCTATTTTAAAAGAAAGAGAGCATAGATAATATGAAACAACATTCTCTTTCCCACCCAAAGTAATAAAGCTTAGATATCTGGAATTAAATAATCCATAATTCAATTATTTGGGATTTTTTTTAAACTCTCTTGATCTCTTGAATTTTTTAACTTTCTACAAAGAGTTTTTTCATTTAACTTTTAGAAAGCTACCAGTTGATCTTTAAGTTTCTTTTATGTCTCAGATTTATGAATCCATCATTCATAAAGATAGCAGCAATATCTCACTTTCCCAAAAAGAAGCCAAGAACTGGCAACTAAGTTAAAAAGCCCCGTGAATAGTCAAAACGTGTGTCACACAGCACTTGTACATTACTCATGGGCTAGCTCCTCCCGATTTGAGCAAACATCGGAGCTGTTTTTCAGGGCTGGAAAATTTTAGCAGTTGAAAATGAAGATGATGAGAAATGTTGCTTTGAAGATATATTTCAGTACTAAGAAGTAATGGACCCCAGAATAAAACTCAAAGTAGCTAAATAGAAAACTTGGTTTGGAGAAAGAATTATGCCTTTAATTATGCCAACTCTTTGGTCTCACTATATTTTGTTCAAATACTTATTATCATATTTTCTTAAAATTTACATATTTTGATGACTTTGCTTGAGAAATTATCCAAATAAATCTCCACTCTATTATTCGTAATTCATTCAGCTTTCTATTATCAATGGCAAATTGCCAAGGGCATTTTTTTTTACTTCTTCTTATTTCGTTTTTAATCAAAGCTTAAACACATTAAAAGCCGTTGAAAGAATTTTAATGAAACGCTTCACAGAGGCATGAAGCTCTAATGGGAACCATTTACACTAAGCAGCCAGGATATCTTTCCCAGTGTCTAGCAGAACATCCACAGCTATTCCCTGAGAAGAGATTAACAAGTTTTAGGCATTTTATTAACTTTTAAAATGTATCATATCTTAAATTGAGATTATGTTTTAAGTTTATGGAAACTGGGGATCCTCAGAAAACAGAAAATATGCAAGAGAAAATGAAGTGAGTTGCTAAGATATGCTGTAAGAATGAAAAGCCTGGGATTTGAGTGTGGGACTTTTGATGAATACTGGAATACATGGTCCTTGCAAAACTCAAACTAGAGTTTAAAGGAAATGTCCTATCAGGGTGATATAGTTTGAATTTGTGTCCCTGCCCAAATCTCATGTTGGATTGTAATCCCCAGTGTTAGAGGTGGGGGCTGGTGGGAGGTGACTGGCTCATGGGGGTGGATTTCTCATGAATGGTTTAGCACCATATCCTTATGGTTGCTGTCATGATAGTGAGTGAGTTCTCACAAGATGTGGTCATTTGAAAATGTATAGAAAACGTGTAGCACCTCTCCCCACCTAGCTCTTGCTCTGGCTTTTGCTTTTGCCATTTGACTGCAAGTTCCTTCTTGGCCTTGCGCCATAATTGTAAGCTTCCAGAGGCCTCCCCAAAGGCAGATACTGATGTTAAGCTTCCTATATAGCCTGCAAAACCATAAGCCAATTAAACCTCCTTTCTTACAAATTACTCAGACTATTTCTTTTTTTTTGCTAGGTTGGCCAGGCTAATCTTGAACTCCTGACCTCAGGTGATTCACCCACCTCGGCCTCCAAAAGTGCTGGGATTACAGGCATGAGCCACCATGCTTGGCCCACAATCTCTCCAAATCAATGAGAAGATATATCTAAAAAGCTATTTTCACATTTTAAATGATCTATTTAATACTATATGTCTTAATAACATTTAAAATGTTTCTTTGCATACTTTGGTAAGTGCCATTGTCAGTACACAGTTCTCTGTTTACAAGTGTCAAGTGTTTAGTAACAGCTGATTACATAGCTTAATAGTCAATCACTTATGAAATGAATCAGAAGCACTTTGAAACCTGGTTAAGGTAAATTATCTGGTTGTTCAAACACAATTCAATGAAATAATCTAAAAAAATTGCTGACTTATAGTCATACTCTCTCAATAAACATTTGCTGAATACAAAATGCTATCACACAACTATACCTCAAACCAAATCTAACTTTTTTTTTAATTGCATTTTAGGTTTTGGGGTACATGTGAAGAACATGCAAGATTGTTGCATAGGTACACATGTGGCAGTGTGATTTGCTGCCTTCCTCTCCTTCACCTATATCTGGCATTTCTCCCCATGTTATCTCTCCCCAACTTCCCACCCCCTGCTGTCCCTCCCTTATTTCCCCCCAACAGACCCCAGTGTGTGATGCTCCCCTCCGTTTGTCCATGTATTCTCATTGTTCAATACATGCCTGTAAGTGAGAACATGCGGTATTAGATATTCTGTTCTTGTGTCACTTTGCTGAGAATTATGGTTTCCAGATTGATCCATGTCCCTACAAAGGACACAAACTCATCGTTTTTGATGGCTGCACAGTATTCCATGGTGTATATGTACCACATTTTCCCTGTCCAGTCTATCATCGATGGGCATTTGGGTTGGTTCCAGGTCTTTGCTATGTGAACAGTGCTGCAATGAACATTCGTGTGCATGTGTTCTTATAGTAGAATGATTTATAATCCTTTGGATATATACCCAGTAATGGGATTGCTGGGTCAAATAGAATTTCTATTTCTAGATCCTTGAGGAATCGCCACACTGTCTTCCACAATGGTTGAACTAATTTACACTTCCACCATCAGGGTAAAAGTGTTCCTATTTCTCCACATCCGCTCCAGCATCTGTTGTCTCCAGATTTTTTTAATGATCGCCATTCTAACTGGCGTGAGATGGTATCTCAATGTAGTTTTGATTTGCATTTCTCTAATGATCAGTGATGATGAGCATTTTTTCCTATGTTTGTTGGCCTCATGTATGTCTTCTTTTGTAAAGTGTCTGTTCATAT